CCCCCAGAAGGAAAGTTGTCCCATGACAATCTGGATACTGAAACCTTGTGATAAAGATCTTTTTTTACTGTTTGTTCTGTCAATATTGTAGCCTCATTAATCCATCCTTAGGACTGCTTTATCACAGTGTCAGTAAAGTTCTTCTCCTGTCTCACTTCCCACATCAGTTGGCACTTTATTGCTTCAGCCTTGGTGTATGTTCCAGGCACTTTAGTTTATAGCTTAAGGGTGAAACAAGCTTCAAGACTTCAGTCTGGTAATGTAGGGGAGCAAGCTTTTTGGAGTGCCCTGTCCCTGAACTTCAATAGGTTGGAGAGGTGGGTTTTGTTTTAATAAAGCAATAATGAACTGTTGTAGCAAAGGTGCATTATCATATCGGGAAATTCCTTTAATCTGCCTTAGGCCAGACACCTTGGCCTGTTACAATGAACTGTGGATATCTGCACATTCTCCTGGTTAGCAAATCGGGTTTCCTTTTTGATTCAAAGAAAAAATTTGGCCAAGTAAAGCTTGCAAGACTTGCCCTTTCTTGTGGCTATTCCTTAAGAACTATTTTAGGGCATCAGTTAGCAAGGATATTCTTAGCTGGTGGATATCTGGTCTCTATGTTGTTATCCTCTTATTCATACTGCATCTGTGTACCGCTAAAGTCTGTCATAAGGCGCTTCAGGTTTTTGCTTAAGTAGCTGTTCATGTAATATTCATTGGATAGGACTTAAATCTTGCTTCAACAGAAGTGGAGTATGAACAACACTTGTACACATCAAATAGATACAGCATAAATTTAGGTGTGTAGAGGGATGTGATTGTTATCTCCCATGGGTTACAACTTTAGAAGTGTTTCAGCTCTCATCGTATACTACAGCTGTAGCTTAATGCAGGTTGTGTCTGTCTGCCTCGAGGAAACAAACCTCCCCTCCCCATGCTTCATGCATCCTTCCCCAGTCAATCTTTACTGTGCTAAGTATCAACTTGAGACAGTTCTAGAGGAAGAGTCCTTAGTACTGATACTGCTGAAGAGCTCATCACATAAGCCAACATGCAGATACCTATGAAAGGTCAATGTGCATCTGAGCTCCTTTGAGAACAGAGTATCTGCTGTCCTCAACTTGAGAGCCTTCTCAAAAGGAGGGGTGCTCTGCTCAGCTCCCCAAGTGGCTGAAGCTCTACCTTACTCCCAAGGACCCCAGACTGGCAGAACAGTTCAACTGACTGGCCCAGAACATGCAAGTCAGGACGGTAGGAACTGGCTGGGAAGGTTAATGCTAAGGTAAAGCAAGTGTTTTGTCTCAGCTTTTTGGCCAAGTCCCTCTTACAGAACACAAGGTACTTTACTTGCAGCTTCCACTACATCAGATTCACCAGCATTTTTAATGGTCCCTTGGTTAGCTTCTAAATCGAGAGTGTTTTCAGGTGGATCTGGCAGTGTTGTTGCACTGTAAAGACAAATGTGAACTTACCTGCATTCTTCCTGAGTGTTTTCCCGCAGTTCCTGTTCATGAAGATACAGGTTACAAAGGGCATTAAGCAAAGATGTTGGGAACTATTAGCTACAGTACTGAATTTAGCCAATATACCTGTGTGTCATCTGTCCTGGGTCTGTCACAAGTCCCCAGACCTTTGACATGTGGTGCCTTGCCCCTTCCTTCCTCCTTCCCTTGACATCAGCATATCTAGAGACTTCAGTAACAGCTCTCTCAGAGCTTTGGGGGCTTTGCTTTTCAGTAGTAAATGAATTTTCAGACACTAACTTGTGAGATACCTCTGGCAATGTGCACTGTACAAGTGAGTCTTGACTTAAAGGACCTTTGTGGGCAGCCTACGACTAGCTACAGTCTATTTGAAGGCTTAAAATAACAATGTCTATCGGTAGTGGATCACTTTCAGCTCTCTGCTCTTCAAGCAGTAGGGAGTGAGTCATAGAAGGAGGGGGGTTTGCTTTGCTTAACATGTGATTTGCTGCTTTACAGTCCTAAAGTTCTTGTGTCTATTAACTCTCCAGCAGCGTAGCTGAAGGTAGGTTGCCTAAGTGACTGCTTCAAAGGAGCAGAGAGTAGCAACTTGAGGATTTAATTGCCAAACAGTTTAGTCACCTGGATTCCTTCCAAGTTTTGCTAGAAATATTATGCCTGCCTGGAGCTTACTGAAATTCTTCTCAGCCTTTTCCAGGAGACCAGAAAAGGCCCATGCCTTGTGTTGCATGTGTAAGTCATTTGTTGTGAAGAGCATCATCTTGTTTCTGGCTTGAGCCATGCTCCCTGTCTGTATTCCTTAGGTGGGTCTGCCTGATGGGTAGGTCCCAGAGCCACAATGACTCAAAGCAGTATGTAGATGAAGAGCAAACAACTCCTCTTGGTGTGAGGACCTTCTGGAGGTTTCAAATGCCTCAGAGCAACAGCAGCCTAAGGGAGGGATGCCTTGTGACTGTACCCCTTTGTCACTGGGAATGTGGGCTACACTGGCCTGGATTTCCTCGGCTTTTGGGGGAGCTTAAGTGTAAGTGCCATCAATGAATCAAAGCAGATGCCAGCTTTCCATGCTGCAGTGGAAGAGTTTCTAGGATTAACCTGAACTGTCGTGTTCTGAACATCTCTACTCTTGGGTTTGCTGGTTAATCAATGGACACAAACACTGCAATCCAGGGCAGCATTTGTCAGGTTGGCTCTGCTGATTGAACAGCCCTTTTCAAGTCTCTCTTAACTCTTTTCAGAAGCATCACTTGAGGATAAAGGCTTTTCTCTTTTCCTCTCCCAGTAGCATTGCCTAACCCAGGTAGTTTGTATGCCAGTAAGGAGCACTATATCCCATAAGGTGGCTCTACACAAAGCCCTTCTGCTTCTGTTTGAATGACAAGCTCTCATTGTCTATCTCTGTTCATGCAAGAGCTTTGATTAGATACAGAACTTTCTCCTAGGGTCTCTGCTATAGTTCTTCTGGGATGTTGACCCTTCCCATGGCTCCTGCCAAGTGGGAAGTCTTTAAAAGGCCAAACAAATCCCACTTGTATTTGATATAACCAAACCCTACTGCTTAGCCCAAGTCAGCAGCTTCCCAAAAGAGCATGTTTTCTCATTGTGTAACTTGTCAGCTTGACCATAATTCCCGGTGACAGATCACTGGGCATTCTTCTTGAGAAAGCAAAACCTCTTCCTCCAAAACCCCCAGCCCAAAGAGGTGTGGAGAGGGCTGAGGACCAACAGACCTGTGCCCTTGGTGTGCCCATGCAGCTGTGTTAGAACAGCCGAGCGGCTTCTGATGTTCTTGGTGAGCAGTTCGCTATCCAAATACTTCCCAATTGGCAAAACTCTACTCTGTGACTATCCCTAAATGCTGCCCTGAAACAGCTTCGTATCCTGAGACACCCTCTCTGCTGCCATGTTCTGAGTCGGATTCTCTGGAGCTGATGGCTTCAGAGGAGATGATTTGCAACTAGCAATGCAATTTTTCTATATCTGCTGATGTTTACCTTTCAAATGATATATATAAATATATATAAAACAATGTCTGATTTTTCTCTTTAATTTTTGTTCTTCCATGTGGTGTAAAATGGAGATCATTGCAAAGCAAAATGTAATTTTGTTATCTTTTGATTCAGTGGGTTTTCTTTATTTAAAAATAAAGGACTTATTGAAGCCAGTGCTACAGGGAGTGACCGTGTGCAGTGTTACTGGGTGATGAAGTCTGTCACTTCTAGGCCATGCCTTACTTGCTCCCTTTGCAGTGGGAAGAGGATCATTTGATGGGGGAATACATGGTTATTAAAATGAATATGTTCCCTCAGATATGAGCTCTGATGTAGCTAAAGGAGTAACAAGAGGAGTCCTTTAGCCCAGCTGTTCCTGCAGCACAGAAGGCCTCTCCTCTGTGATGACCGCTTCCCTTGAGGATGGGGTGAAGCTCTGGGCTCATGTTTGTGCAGAAATCACCATGTGTTGTTTTTCCCTGTTGGAGAGAGGGTGGATTTCCTAATCCTTGAGCTGGCAGAAGAAACACAACAGCAACAATGGCACCTCTGAGCCCAGGGCAGAGAGAAGCCCTGCCAAAAGCATCACTTGACTGACGTTAAGAGCTCACCAGATTTTTACCTACAGGCCAAGTAAGACAGATGTGGAGGGTAACTGGGACTGCTGTTGGGGTGGCTGGGCTGAACCAGGACCAATGGGAACTGCTCTGTGGGAGGCAGTGCTTTGTGCTCCATCTCTAGTTTATTGGCCATTGTAATGTAGCTGTTAGATCTGCTTCAGAACTTGGTCAGAGTCACTGTGGGGGGGAAGCTGAGGCATGCACGGATGATGCTCACTGCTCTGCTGTGCTATTCTGTGGCCCCATCAAAGCAAGCTCCTGGCTCACAACGTGTCCCAGCAGTGTTAAGCAGCCACAGCGACCTCCCAGGAGCTGTCCCAGTCCCAATCCCATAGGCAGCAGTGTGCTGTTCTGTCTGTGCACACGGGGCTTTGTCTCTGTTTCTACAAGCGAGCTGCAGTTGCTCTGTCTCCCAAGCAAGCTGTGCTGTTGTGTTTCCTCTGGCCTGACGGTTGTAGGGTTGTCACACGTGCTTTCCTTGGGATGGCTCCAGCTGCTTCCCGGCCCTGCACAGTGCGGAGCCAAATGCAGCAGAGAGGTGCCTTTCGCACACATTTAACCCCATTGCCTCTGCCCAGACGTGCCCCATCCTCCCCACAGCTTTGGAGCCCATGTCCTGTTTGGTTTGAGCTGGAGCCAGTGCCCTGATGAATGCAGCTCTTGTCAGCACCCAGCACCCTGGCTACCTTTGGGTCTGGGCTTCTGCTGGTGAAAGGTGCCCGTGTGTAGCTGGGAGGGAGGAAAGGCGACAGGGCCAGGGTGACAGAGAGGATAACCTGGGCACAGACCAGCAACTTACTCCTCTCCAAGCCCCACTGCTGGCCAAGGGAGGGGACGATGGTCTGGAACAGAAGATGCCTGGCTCATGAACCAGCACAGACTGCCTTGCCTGGGACACAGCTACTTCTGCATCCAGTGCTGCTGACTCCACATGAGCAAGAATTAATTGGCTTTACTATCAGCACAACTCATTTTCCAGGCAAGGACCCTCTGCCCTCTATGGTGGCTTTTGGTAGGGCTCCCTCCCACAGCACAGGACCAGGAGAAACAGCTTCTGAAGGATGCAGGAGGGTATGTTCTGCTTGTCCCTCACTCTCCTATGGATAAATCCATCTCCTAGTCTTAGCGGGTGCTGCAGCCTCTGTTCCTCCTCCGTGCCTGCCTGAGCAGGAATTACACAGAGCCTGGGGCACTGGTTGGGTTCCTGCATCTTCTGGGCTGTTTTCTCTTTCCTGGTTAGAGCAGATGACTGAGAACTGAGGGTCCTTGTGTGGGCAGGGGTGATGCTCACATTGGGATGCAGGGAGGACGGAGACTGCTGGTTCCTTGGCCCCTGTGCCAAAGGACAGTCAGTGATGGGAGGGGCAACAGAGGTCTGCTACCAAGCAGTGACACTGCTGGCCTCCTCAGAACCAGCAGCACAGTCAGTGTGCCTGCACCCAAAAGGAGCCCCTGTTCCTTGCCACATGCCATAAGCAACCCCAGAGCTCTGCTGCTCAATACCACTTTATTACTGCCTCTCTGTAGCCCTCCCTTCCCAGAACAGATGCTCCCCTGTCCCCCCACCACAGCTCCAGGGCTGGTATCCTCCTTCCTGTGCTGGCTCCTGAGAGAAGGATGCTCTGCCTGGGGGGGGACAGAGCTGCTGGGCAGTCTGCTGCCTGGTGTGGGGAGGCAAAAGGAGAGACAGGCGAGGAACAACCTCATCACGAGCAGTCATCCAACCAATGCTACGGCAAGGGGGTGGCTGGGCTTAGGGGGCCACCACTGTGCTGGGTTAGAGAGCTGTGTCTTCAGCCTCGATGCGTGGCCCAAAGAGCTTCTCTGCAGTAGCTTTGCCATCGTACTTGGGCAGGGTGCCACCAAAGTCTGCCGGCAGGATGTCAGCATCGATCTCCTGGTAGAAGGACTCCAGCTCCTCTCCATGCACAAAGACCTGGAGGGAGATGGGAGAGACCAGGGCAGCGCTTCCCATCTCCTGCTTCACCCAGGGACATGCCTCTGGTCCCTTTCCCGCACTCACCCTCTCCAGGAGTTTGCTCTTCAGGAATGGTTTGACCACGTTGTAGGTGGTGGTGAAGTACCAGGGCTGGTGGATGAAGTGCACGGCCTTGAACCGCGCTGGGAAGGAGTCCTAAGATGCCAGACACAGATGGTTACAGATGGTGCTGCCCACACACAGCTGGGCAGGCAGCAGTGGACACCCTGGCACTGCCATGGTTCTCCTCACCCCATCTCCCATTCTCTCCTTGATGGCCCCTTTCTGTTCTGACCCAGAGGATCAGCAGTCCCAGCCCCAGGGAAGCTAGAGCCTTCCATAAGGCTCATAGCTCTTGCTCCATAAGCATGGTCACATCTCTGCTGTCCTCCTTCCCTGGGGAGAGCCAAGTGTCTTCAGCCTCTGGTCCAAACCCTGCCAGCCCTGCCACTTCCCTCCCCTCAGCTCTGTTCCCCCAGGGCCCCCTGTTTGGTGGGCGCAGGCTCTGCCTCCTCACCTGCAGCATGTCCACCATCTTCTTGAGCTCGGAGGGTTTGATCCCTGATGCCTGCTGCATGGTGAAGCCCTTGAAGTTCTCAATGATGCAGAACCCATTGATCTGGGTCTCTTCGTTTTCCAGTAGCTTCTCCAAGATAATGCAGTAGGCACGAAGGATCTGATGGAGAGGAGGCAGCAGGGTCTGTGTTAGGTCTCACTTCCTGCAGGCTCCAGTTTCCCATGGAACATTAGCCTGAGTCTGCCTGACTCCAGCCTGCTTGTACAGCCAGCTCCAGGGCTTCAGAGCAGGGAGGGCACTGCAGGGGATGCTCAATAACCACCCCATTCCCCTTTGGAGTCAGATCTGGTGTCAGTGACACCGTGTCATCAGAGCTGAGCAGAAAACACAGCTAGGGGCTAACCCTTTCTGTGCCTTATGCCTCAGTTTCCTCCTTTGCCCTGCTGGTCCCTCCTTTCTAAAGAGCCTTGATTTAATGGTGTGGTGCCTTTCTTCACCCTGTGTTACCTGGGCTGGGGAAGGGACCCCCTGAGTTTGATCTGCATCTTGCACCACGTCAGGGGGAAGGAAGGGAACCCGTTGGGATGGGACACAGAAGGAACCCTTTGGGATGGACCATTCTCTCATGCTCCCTCAAAGCATAAATTCAAAGGGTTACAGGTTTGCTTCAACCTGGGTGGCTGGAGGCTGTGTGTGGACACGTGTCCATAGGCATGTCGTGCTCATATGTGCCAAGGGGCAGGATCGGGCCCTCCCTGCTGAGCTGACCTCATCGAAGGTGATCTCCTCGTAGTCCCAGTTCTCGATGTTGAAGAGCATCACGACCCGGCCATGCTTGTCCCTGCTGGCCAGGATGCCGGGGTAGCCGGCCTCGATGGTGCTGCGCACGGCCTCGGGGCTCAGGTTGTCGAAGAGCTCCGGGTACTGCTGGCGGAAGCTGACGTAGCCTGCAGAGAGGCAGGAATCAGGAGGACACCATGGCTGGGGAGCCACCTGCGCACTGGTGATGGGGAGACATCCGTCCTGAGCCCCATTCCTAGGGTCCATACAGGTCAGCAGTGCACCAGCCCCAGCGTGCTCGGTGTTACTCTCCCCATGTAACCCGCATCAGCCTCCTCTCCAACACCTCAACAAGCACGTTTTCCCCTCATTTCCCTTTTCCCCTTGCTCCCTGTAAGGGTGGCACCACTCAGCCCCCTTCCCTGGGCTCCCTGTGTGTACAAAGTAAGGAATCTCCTCCTGGGAAAACACAGGCAAACAAAACAGCTCCAATGGGAGCCAGTGCTGATAATTACAACTCATTATCCCCCCACGCTGACACAAGGACTGGAGCCAGAGCCAAGCAGAGGCTGCCCTTCCGTCCCTATGGGTCATTCCCAGTGTGGGGAAGGGATGCCAAAGCACCTCAACCTGCCCTCAGCCCTCGATGTATTCCACAGCTGCTGAACCCAGCAGGCACCATGCACAGAAGCATCAGGATGGATGCAGGACCAGCTACTTACAGGGGTACAAAGGGACATGTACAGGAAGGACATGGGCATCTCCAGGGGATGCAGCTCAAAGCAGATGGGTTTGCTGCACAAATGGAACACCACCAAATGCTTTCTTTCCCCCTATTTTGTCCAATATATCGACAAGGAATGGGACTGTTCTGGTGTTGTGGGATGCCTGGGATCACCCTCATTTATTTCCTTCCCCATCCCAACTCTTTCCCTGCATCCCAGCCTCCCAGCCCAGCACCTCTCCCAACCTTTCAGCAGGTCATAGGCCCTGTGGACATCGAACTTGCGGGCACGAATGAAGCGGAGGAGGAAGGAGTCGTCCTTGTCCTGCACCTTCTCTGCCACCGCCTGGCACACGTCCTCGCCGCCCGCCCGCTCCCGCACCAGCTCCCGCAGCGCCTTCACCGCCACCTCCCTCTGCTCCACCGTCTCGTTCAGCTCATCCTTCGCCTGGAAGCACACCCCAAAACACCCCATGTAGGTACCAAAAGCTTGGGGATGCAGTGATGCTCTTGCAGCATCCTACCACAGGGAGCTCAGGGTCACTCAACTTGGGGGTAAGTGCATCCCCACCAACGCAAGAGCCTGCTGGGGGTCTCCTCTGTCCCCCCAAGAAGGAGCAGGAGCCCCAGTCTGTGCCTGCCCCCCATTCCCCATATCCACCCTCACCTTCTGCAGGGTGTGTGGGGGGATCTTCTCGCACCTCCCAAAGACAGGGCCGTGGTCCTTGGTGGTGAGGCGCTCCAGCTTGGAGCGCAGGGCCTGCTCCTCCTCCGAGACGATGCGGAAGGTGCCCGTCTGGGGGTGAGGAGAACACATGGGCTCTCCACAGCCAGCCCCCCTGCTCCCTGCCCCACTGCAGGTCTCCTGGGGTAGGGAGCTATGGGGAAGGGCAGAGACTCCATACGGGGTGCAATGGGATGGGCTGTGTGCTGAGAGCAGCCAGGGGGTAAGGGGAGCGTGAGGTGCACCCCATCCCAGCACTGCAGGGAGGGGATGCTCAGAGGCTAGGGGATAGGGCAGCACAGGGGCAGTACTCACAACGGCAGACATGCTGTCCTCTGTCAGCTGCAGGACACTATGAGAGGGAAGGAGCAATCAGCAGTGGTGAGGATCCTGATGGTTTCTGTATCCCCCCTATGCCCCATCCCTGCTCCTCTTGCTCAGGCAAGGGTGGAGGCGGATACCCATAGGACACCCCCAACCCTCCTCAGTTCCATCATGTACTGCCTGCATCTCTGCCTGGCAGCAGCCTTGAGAAGCACCAGGGATGTTTGCAAAAGCAGCTTAAAGATGTGGGTATTGATCATCTGACACCATCCTTTCTCTGGCTCTGGGGACATCTCATAAGGACCCCCCAGCCCCATGAGCTCACCCAGTGCTGTTTGTTTCAGACCACCTTCATGTGTGCAGAGGTGAGCGCACAGCTTTGGCCAGGGAACCAGCCAAGTGCTTTTATTGCCTGTTATTTCTACTACCCTGCTATCCCCAAAGTGTTCCCCCAGCCCTCAAGCCCCACTGCTCCAGCCCAGAGCCCATCACTGCCTGCAAGGCTGGGCCATCATCCTCACAGCATCTTTCCATCACAGTCTGGGTGAAAGACCTTGTTCTCATGCCCTGCGAGGAGGAGGAGGGCTGCCTTCATCCTAACTCCATCACTCACCCTTGCTCCTGCCTTCTGCACTGATTTCAAGCCCAGGCAATGCAAGGGATGTTTGGCTCCAGCTCAGTCACTTCTACCATCTACAGGGCGAGCATCCCCTTTTGCTAGGCTAAAACCAATCCCAACCCCAGCAGTGCCGTGTTAAGGGCTGGATGAGTCTCCAATGCAGTTATTCCAGGTGGGAAAAGCCCTGGATACTCACCAGGGATAGAAAAGCTGAACTGAGGGTCAGTGCACGGGGACCCAGACGGACGCACGGAAGGCAAGGCCGGAGTGGAGCAGGCAGATAGCGGGGCAAAAGCTTTGTAGAGTCAGCGGGTTGGGATTAGACCGTCACAAGGCATCAACTCACTGCAGCTTTGTAATTAAGGCAGCACAGCCCCGGCAAGAAACCCCATTCCAGCATTACAAAAGGCAGCTGATGGGAGGGAAGGAGGGAGCTGGGGCTGCGCGGGCCAGCCCGAGCGTGCGTGGAGGGGCTGGGATGCCGGACCCGATTAACCAAGTATAAAAGCTCCTTGTTGTGTAACTCGCTCATTAGCACGGGGCAGGGGCAGGCGGGGGCTGGCTGCTATCCCTGCATGCAGAGCCGGTCAGGGCTGCTCCAGGCAAGGGCCGGCTGCAGGGACAGATCCGTGGCAAAGGATGCTCCAAGGGCTGGTCCATCCCAGGGCGCTCCAGCTCCTCCCAAGGCAGCATCCATATGGGTCCCTTTTCAGCTCTTAGAATGAGAAAGCACGAGCAGATCATTGTTTTATAATGTGATGGTTTCCTGCTTGCAGCTTTGGGAACTGGAACCCTGTTCATTCCTGGGGTGAAGCCACGAGGGAAGGGAGCCCGGGATGTGACAGGGATGGTGCTGAGCACATGTATGGGTGCAGAAGGGTGGCAAAACAAGTGTTTTGGGTATGACCCAGCACACATGGGGCAGGGGAGCAATTGCAGCCTTAACTCTTCGGGCCCATGGTTGTGGGAGCTGGGTGAGGATGGGGCCGTGCAGAGCTCTTTTCCCAAGCCCAGGACTGGAGCTCAGCCAGGCTCTTACCACAACAGGGATTGTGGGGAGGCGGTGGGGCCGGGCTGAGCGCCGGGCAGGACTGAAGGGGCTTACACAAGGCACGTTTTGTAATGCCACCGGGATTTACGGATTTGGTTTCCACGGGGCTGCCCTGCAAACAGAGCTGAGACCCCGCTGCGAGGGAGGAGGAGGAGGAAGGCACGAGGCTCCTGATGAAGGCAATGGGGAGCGGGGAGGGAAAACTCAGGCCTGTGCCAAGACCCCAGGCAATGCTGCCATGGCCAGAGGCATCTCACACTGAGACCCCCGACCTCCTTGTTCCATTCCTATGCCAGCCCTAGTGTAAGGCTCAGCTTCCTTCTAGAGCTTGTTGTATCTTTGTGTGCAGAGCAAGATGGTAATATGGTTTAGGGCGAGGTGTCCCTGCCCATGGCAGGGGGGTTGGAACTTGATGATCTTAGGTCCTTTCCAACCCTAACTATTCTATGATTCTATGGTGTGTGATGGGGGGATATCATCCTGAATAACCCCAATAGCCCTTCATGGGGATGGCAGAGGGGACCACAGGGCTCATCACAGATGGAATACCTCTGCAGACTCATGTGTAGCCCCTGGCATCACGGTGCTTTGTCCTGGGAAAAGGAGTCTTGGGATGCGCCAAGGCCAACCCATCCCCAAGTATTGTGGCCATAGCCCTTAGGACATCTCTTGCCAGGTCCAGTTATCCCGCTCCTCATGGCCCTTGGCCCTGGGTGAACCCGCTCCCCGTGAGCACAGGGCTTGCGAAAGCTCCCACGTTGTGCTGGCACCGGATCCCCTGGATAAATCCCGCTGCTTAAACACGGGCTAAACCCTCCTCGTGTGCCCAAGGGCACCCCTCATCCCCCTGGAATTAAGGGGTTTACTTGGAGCTATCCACACTCCATGCGAGTGGCTCTGGAAGGTGCTGGGTGCTGCTGTGCTGCGGGTGGCCCTGAATCATAGAATGGGTTGGGTTGGAAGGGACCTTAAAGCTCACCTCATCCCAACCCCCCTGACACCTTCCACTAGAGCAGGTTGCTTCAAGCCCCATCCAGCCTGGCCTTGAATGTTAATAGGGACCTCCGGATTTCCTGTAGCTCCCCTTTAGGCACTGGGAGCTGCTTTAAGGTCTCCTGGGAACTTTCTTTTCTCCAGGCTGAATAAGCCCAGACATAAGGCAGACAAGCCTGCTTCATCAGAGATGACACTACCGAATGCTGAAAGGAGGGCTGAGCAGATCATAGGATCATAGAACTGACGTTTCAGCCCAGTTTTGGGGTTACATTAACATGACAGCACCTGCTTTCAGCTCTGAACGCGGTGACCAAGCAAACCGATCACATTTGTTAATGGGCCCAGTACCCGGCTTGCTCCCGCACCCCGCGGGATTCGAACCGGCGACCTCCCGTGCTGGCAGGGCAGGCGGGCACAGCTGCTGGCGCGGACCGGAAGTCAGCGCTGTGGGCGGGACTGTTGCCCGGGTGACGGGCGGGCTCTTCCGGGCGGGAATTTCGTGGCGGCGGGGCCGGCTCCGGGGCGCTGTGCCCGTGTCCCGGCACCATGGCTGAGCGCATCCTGGCGCTGGCGGCCGAGGAGGCTCCCGAGCGGCTCCAGGAGGCCCTGCAGAGCCTGGGGGAGAGCGAGGTGCGCGGGTACCCAGCGGCCGGGCCCGGTGTTCGGGGCGGGTGCGCGCTGTTGGGTGCAGCGCAGCTCACGGCGTCCCCTTCCCTTGCAGCTGAGCGATATGGTGACAAGGCAGGCCCTGAACGGCAGGGAGACGGCAGCTTTGCTAAGAGGCATCTTCAAAGGTGGGTAAGCACTGAGATGCGCTGGGTGGGGGTGAGGGAGAAGTGGTCATGGGCACCAGGACGTGTGACTTCTGGTGGAAACAAACATAAGGACATGGCTGTTGGAGCAGGTCTAGAGGAGGCCGCGAGGATGATCAGGGGACTGGAGCACCTCCCATATGAAGACAGGCTGAGAAAGTTGGTGCTATTCAGCCTGGAGAAGAGAAGGCTGCGTGGAGACCTCATAGCAGCCTTCCAGTGTCTGAAGGGGGCCTGTAGGGATGTCAGAGAGGGACTCTTCATTAGGGACTGTAGTGATGGGACAAGGGGTAATGGGTTCAACTTTAAACAGGGGAGGTTCAGGTTAGATATAAGGCAGAAGTTCTTCCCTGTGAGGGTGCTGAGGCGCTAGCACAGGGTGCCCAGAGAAGCTGTGGCTGCCCCATCCCTGGCAGTGTTCAAGGCCAGGTTGGACACAGGGGCTTGGAGCAAGCTGCTCTAGTGGAAGGGGTCCCTGCCCATGGCAGGGGTTTGGAACTGGATGATCTTAAGGTCCCTTCCAACCCAACCCATCCTGTGAATCTGTGAAAATCAGCTGGTCAGGGCTGCCCAGGGAAACGTGATATCCCAAAACAGGTACGGGGAGATAGGAGACTGGACTGACACATTAATGAGCCTGTTGTAAGTGGGCTTTACTTTTGCCAGGCCTTAGGTGATATATTTTACATTGGCTGTTGGTAGTCATAGTTACTGTACGTATTAGGGTCTTGAACCTGGGTCAAGAACATGTTCATTAGCAATAAGGAATTAATGAGTAAAACCAGGACCTGGTTCTGTTTAAAACATCAAAGGAGAACATCTGAGATTGATGATGTTATTTCCAGCTTGGCAAAGTGGCTGTCCAATTAACCAACTTAGCAGTCAAACTGAAGTTTGATTCATTCTGAAGTGAATTATTGTACTAATAATCACACCCACAGATCAAAAAGACCTTGACCCAGGTGAAGGCCCTTCCTCTAAGCATGCAGTTATATGAATGAATATGTAGTCATATGTTAACTAATAACCAGTCAGTATGAAATCTATGATTTTTGTGTATAAAAGAGCCCTGAAACTTGATGTTCATGACTTGTGCAACAGCCCGCCCAGGCCTGGCTAAACACATCTCCTGAGCATGTGGATTTGTTACATGCTGGGTACGAATCCACTTTTAGGACAACACAGGCACCTTGGAGTAGAGCTGAGCCAGCTGAGACTTAATTGCCAACCTGATTCTTCTCAGCATTTTGACACTTCCTGATCTCTGGCAGCAGGTTGAGTGAAGCACAGGGTGTGATAGCAGGGTTGAGTGCTTCAGCTGCTTTATCCAAGAGATTCTCATTTCCTGTGCTCTGTTTTA